TATGTATTCAATTGAGCTGCCAGAAACCATAGACTGTGTTTTGTTCTTCCTTATGTGTATGTCCCATGTTCATCACAGGCTCAGAAATAGATGTGTCACTGAACATGACTGACAGAATTGGGACCCCCCCAGGAGGAGTTGGGTTTCTTTAGGTTACTCATCTTGAGTGTCTTCATCACAGATGCTCTGTGGTACTTAAACAGATACCCTAGCTAAGGGATCTATCTATCTATCTATCTATCTATCTATCTATCTATCTATCTATCTATTTATTTCCTGGCTCATCTGTTTTCATAGGAAGCACCGAAGAGCACGAGACCGGTCTAGGTCATCATCCTCTTCCTCCCAGTCATCCCACTCCTACAAAGCGGAGGAATACACTGAAGAAACGGAGGAGAGAGAGGAGAGTACCACTGGCTTTGACAAATCAAGACTGGGGACCAAAGACTTCGTGGGTCCAAGTGAAAGAGGAGGCAGAGCTCGAGGGACCTTTGTAAGGAGAAGGCTCTGCCCTCAGCCCTTTTTCTCTAAGCCCCTGTTCCCACCAATTCTAATTATGTGTTTTTCAGAATACCAGTTTGATTGCCCCTGATATAAGTAATCCAGTCTGCAGACCTCAGAATCTGTGTTCCCCATTACCCAGGCTTTCCACTTGTAGTCATTTTATTGATCATAATCACTGAGCTAGAAAGCCTCTTAGGACTTCTGGTCTCAACTTTCCAACATATCTTGGTTCCTGCTATGTGTAGGAGGCCCTCGTGATATGTTGTCCTCTGTCTAGGCTGTAGACCCGAGATGAGCAGAAAGGGAATGGATAGAAAAAGTTGATCAGCATATTGACTGGAGGACAACTGTCTATTCTGTGCCAGAAAAGTGTTTAAACAGAACGCAAGGCATTGTTTTTCTCTGTTCTTGACATGGCCCTCTGTTCCTTTTCCCTGCTTATTGCCACAGCAATTTCGAGCCAGAGGGAGAGGCTGGGGCAGAGGCAGCTACTCGGGTAACAACAACAACAACAGCAACAACGATTTTCAGAAGAGAAGCCGGGAGGAGGAGTGGGACCCTGAGTACACACCCAAGAGCAAGAAGTATTACCTGGTATGTGTCTGGGAATAACCAGGAAGGAAGGGCCAGGGGCCTTTGGCACACATAGTGGCTCTTACCAAGGCTTTAGTTGGCCTTTTCAAAACGGATTGAATATGTGTACAGGCATGTTGTATTTAAGGGAATGAGTATTTGTGGGACAGTATGCTGGCAAAATAAGTGTTCTCTAGAGAGGCAGCCCTGGCTTGAAAGGGTTTATCACCTGAGACATGGATTCCAGGGTAAACAAGAAGGGTTACCGTTCCCATTTTATTTTGTGAACTTGTTTCACTGCTCACCCACCCCAACCTTGGCCTTCCGTCAGCCTCTACCCAGGGATAGAGCTATAACCCTCCCCTTAAGCCACAGTTCCACTCTGACACTCACCAGTGCAAGATTGACAGGGAAGGTAGATCAGAATCTCTCTGTCTCCAGAATGAAATGCCATTGGGGCTTCTCTCATCTAAGCTGTTGCCATTGCCAGGTACCAGGCACCTCCTGGGCCTTTCCCTCTCATGTTGGGACTCTCATGGGCTGAATTACCTGGCTAGTGAGTGAACTTAATAGCAGGCTTAGATGCAAGCAGACAGGAAAATACTGGCTGGGCCCAGGATATGTGCTAGAGTGGGACTGCTACAGGGGGAATGATTAAAAGCCTCTTTTCCTGCCCCTATTTGTCCCCTAAAGGAGCATCACCAGCCTGCTGCATTTAGGCAGGTAAACAAGCAACCCTGGTAGGAAGCAGCTGGCCCTTTCACTGACTGACCCCCAGGAGCCTTACCCTACTTGCGTGGGTGGGTAGTTTGGACTCTGAAGTCATGGGACTGATGAGTTAGCAACGACCTCTAGTTTTCAAAATTCTTTCTCATTCATTCTTTCATTGGATGCCTCCTCACTTGAGATTGATCGTCAGGGCGGACAGGGATTGTTTGAGATGTAGGTTGTGTGTTTTCTACTGTCACACTGCCTCCTTGCGTAAAACTCAAGTTGGGAGACACAGGATGGGAGCCCGGGTTCTGGTCCTGACTTGGCCATTAAGTGATCTGAGACCATGAGCAAGTCATTTACTCATGGTTTTGCTGTCTGTTCTTGGCTGGGGGTGGGGTGGGTTGGGAAGAGCTGAAGCGGTAGCTATATATTTGAGTGTTGCTGCTGCTTTTAGCTACCTGACATCCCAGATCAGATGCAGTTTCATGTTCTGGTGTGATAGGCATTCTTAAAAACCCATCCTTTGAGAGATGGTATACTAAATAATATGGAATTAAAGTTCCTAAGCCTGTTCCCTCATTTGCATAGTGGAGGGTGATAATGATAGGGAAGATGTGAGAATTAAATGAGATAGTGCTTGTATAGATCTTTCAGGGCTCAGTGAAGATTTTGTCATCATCATCATCATTATAATGCCCAAGCTACTGCCTTTGCACTCCTAAGGCACCCAACTGAATATTCTCTTGAATCTGAATCGGTAGCGTCTTTGGATAAGAAACAGGGAGGAGGATAGAAAAGGAGCAAAAAGGTGGGTCAGGACATAGGTTTATTTGAGAAAGTCACAGAGAAGAGGGTTCTGGCTATGTTTGCTCTGGCATTGATGGCAGTTTTCTTTCCTTCCAGCATGACGACCGTGAGGGCGAAGGCAGTGAGAAGTGGGTGAGCCGAGGCCGGGGCCGAGGCGCCTTTCCCCGGGGTCGGGGCAGGTTCATGTTCCGGAAATCCAGCACCAGCCCCAAATGGGCCCATGACAAATTCAGCGGGGAAGAAGGGGAGATTGAAGATGACGAGAGTGGGACAGAGAACCGAGAAGAGAAGGACAATTTACAGCCCACCACCGAGTAGGGGCTACTGTGATGGGAGCTTCTATCCAGGGGATAGAGGCGCTGGGAAGATGGCTGGTGAAGAACGAAACAGAGGAGCCCCAAGATGATTCTGAAAATCCCTCCCCCCTCTCCCCACCAGTCATGCAGAATCCTACTATAGTCAAAAGTATCCCTGGCGCAGTGTCCCACTGGACAGAAGCAGCCAGCCATGGAGCCTGGTGTCAGGCCCAGCTCTTGAGCAGAACACAGCGCATTGGGCTTTAGCTGTGTTTCTCATTTGTTGTTGGTGTGTGGGGTGGGGGCTGGGGTAGGGAGGGGAGAGCGATACTTGGATTTTGGTTTGTTCCCTATTAGAAACCAGTTTTGTTCTTAATTTCATTTCATTTGGAGCTAAGAGGACTAATTTGATGATTTTTTAAATCTCTTCTCCCTTTTCCTGGTTTTTAAAGCCCTCCTTTTTTTAGGCATATGTAGTAAGTACATTAGCAGAAAGATTTAATTGGACAACTTTGATTCTTAAAAGAGAAAACAAAGCATGTGAATAAACATTGAAGTGTTCACCTCAGTTTGGGACCAAACTGCTTGGATCTTTGTAAAAATCGGTTTTGTATGTTGAGGAGGAGTTCAAGGCCTTGTGTTCCCCTTTTCTGTGTAGCCATGTATCACATGGTATTGCTCCTAACCACACCCCACGTGCCCCCTCTCCCAATATTTTCTTCTGGGCTGGGCTTCCCATTCTCCACCAGCAGCTCCAGTATCCCAACTTTCTAGTCCTGCTGATCCTCAGCAACAGCGGTGGAAACTGGATGGCGGTTTCTGGTCTGTTTTCTAAGAAACTTCTGAATTCTATTATCTTTACAAATATAAGATGAGAAAATAATTTTTTCAATATTTTTTATTAATCTTTTTATAAAATGAAAAGAAACTCCTATGATCGATTAAGGAAGGTGGTTATGGCTGGGTGGTTTGTGGGGTTTTCTTTTTCTTTTTTCTTTTTTTTTTAACCATAAGCTTTAAGTTGAAGCATTCGCAAATGTTTGGGGGGAAAACATTCTCTTAAAATGGGGTCCTTGTGCTTGCCTTCTGGGGAGGTGGTCCTGAGCAGGTGAATCATATGGCATTTATGCATATGGTATATGTGGACTGCACCCACCTCGCCCCCCACCCCAACCTTTGCCTCTTGGGTTGTGTGCTACTTTTCCCCTTACTTTGCTACATTTCTATAGTTAAGTTGGTTTTACTTGAATGATTCATGTTTAGGGGGGAAAAATGAAAATACCCTTAAAGATTTGTTTCAACTCCTCCTGCAAATAAAAATAAATAAATGAAGTGGCAGGTGTAAATGGGCTCTGGTCATTGTCACCCTGAGAGTGTGTGTGTGTGTGTGTGTGTGTGTGTGTGTGTGTGGTGGATATCTCCCATCGCAGCTTAAGGGAACCTGAAAGATAAAATATGGGGGAGGGGGGTGCTGGCTCAGACTTGCCCAGCCCCCACACTCATTTGTTCTGGGAGGGGCCTCAGCCATGCTCTGCTAGCTTATGACTCTGCATTCCCGTCCCAGTGGTTTTACTTTATCCTGTACCTTGAACACCCCAGGAGAACCAGATTTTTTTCACTGCGATGTGTCACCCTTGAGCAAGGACTTTGGCTTCCAAGGTGGTGGGGCAGGGGCCAAAGGGTTTGGATTACAGGCTCAGCCTTCTGTGGTTCCCACTGAGCAGGAAGATTACCTGAGAGTTAGTCTCATGGAATGGGCACTAGGTGGACCCTAACCTTCACGAACCCTTGCCGTCGCTGGGCTGGCTGGTAGCGGGCAGACGCATTGAAAGCTCAAGTTCTTTTTTCCTGCCTTCCCCCCCCCAAGGAGAATCTGGAGTCATTTTCTGAAAGCAAACTGGAAGCGTCTTTGCGCTCTTCCTCTTCCGTAGACGGGTGCGGGGGAGGGATAGGTGCCTCCGGGAAAGCAGCGTATACCAGCTATGCGCGCACTAGAGTAATCACCCACTTCCACCCAGCCCCCGCCTTGAAGCAGTTCTGCCTGCAGGGGGAGCCCCACCCTGGTATGTGCCTCTCCCCACCTTTTCTCCTGCAGCTAAAGGCTTACCAGCAAGGGAGGGTAGACCAGGAAGGCTCAGCAAAAGGTGGGTGGGAGCCTCAGGGCCAAGGTTGGGAGGACGGGAGGCAGCTAGACAGAAAATTTGGGTGACTAGGCAGGCAAGAGCAGGTGGGGAGTTGTGTGACCTCAGCACTGGCAAGAGACCCTGGATTCTTCATCCCTGGGCTGGGGGCCGAACCTGCTGAGCCGGGCCGCCCCCTCTCCCACACCCACTCTCAGCACCTGGAGCGGGACCTATCCTATCCACTCCTGTCTCCGCCTCCTTTGCTTCCCAGTCTCGCAGCTCTTCCCAGCCTATCCAGGCCCAGTACTCGGCTGCCCGCGGGATCTCACAATCCGCCCGGCCTGGCCCTGGTGGGCGCCCCGGAAGCTATGGGTATGTGCAGAGGGGTTGGGGTGGCTCCTCTACACAACAGTGTGGAAATGGCAACAAAATCCTACACCACCACCCTGCTTTCCCGCTGTCCTGAACACGGAGCCCGGGACTCGCGCCATGGGCAGGCAGCTCTGGCTGGGCCCTTCTGAGCCGCGTTTCCGCCTTCAGAGGTGCTGGTCCTGGCTGGATACCGCGCACAGAAGGAGAGCGAGCTGAGTCTGGCGCCCGGGGACGTAGTCCGACAGGTATCCAAAGGACCTGCGCGGGGCTGGCTGCGCGGAGAACTGGGGGGCCATTGTGGCTTCTTCCCCGAGCGCCTGGTGCAGGTGAGGCTGGGCCGGGCGTCAGCTTGGCTGCGCGGGAGGTCTTGGCCCCCACCCTCAGGAGCTGAGAAGCCCCTCTCTGGGGCCCTTATTTTCAGGAGATCCCGGAGACTCTGCGTGGCACGGGAGAGGCGCCGAGACCACGCTGTGCGCGAAGCCTAGGTAAGATCCAGACCGGTGGGAAAGTGGGTAGCTGCCCCGAGCTGGTGCGGTCCCGCGGCCCCCACTCGCCCAGACTGGCGCCTGTGTGGGCGGAGCCTCTGGGCCCCTCTGCGGCCTGTGATTGGTTCTCGAGCACAATGCTCCGCCCTAGGCGGGGCCTGGGGGTACAGAGGCGGGCGCTTGCAGCCCGCAAGCTCCTCCCTTGGTTCAGCGGACTGGGGCACCCGGCTTCAGCGGCCTAGTTCACTCCCATCCCAGGTCGCCCCGTCAAATCTCGGAGCCCCCAAAGATGGTGCAAAGTGAACTTCAACTACAGCCCGGAGCAGGCGGATGAGCTGAAACTGCAAGCTGGGGAGATTGTGGAAGTGATAAAGGAGGTGAGGGGATGAGGTGATGAGAGGATTTGGGCAAATAATGGAGCACATCCCTGGGTGAGAGGAGATGGGTGGAGTGAGGGTACGCGCAATGGGAATGGTGAGGGGTGCAGAGATGGTAAAGTGAGGGAACAAAGATGGAGGGGACCATCGGGCAGAATTGGAGCAGAACTGAGTGTATGATTTATGGAGAGACACTTGGGGCAGAACCAGATGCCCCTGTGTCCTTCCCTCCTCCCCAGATTGAGGATGGCTGGTGGCTGGGAAAGAAGAACGGGCAGCTGGGAGCCTTCCCATCCAACTTTGTGGAGTTGCTGGACAGTGGGCTCCCAAGTGAGACCTGGACCTTGTGACCCCGTGAGACCCCGTGACCAGACTCAGCAATCTCCAATGACCCTCTCAGTGGCCTGAGCCTGTGATCCACACATCCTGACCCTGTGACCCCTTTGACCTCTTCTATGATCTAACCTGTGAATTAGCACCACCCTTAAGGTCCCTTTCCCTCACCAGGCCTTGATAACCCAGACATGTCTTCTTCAGTCAGCCCTGATCCCCAGCGGCCTCCCAAGGTAAATTCTGTGGAGTGGGCACAGAGGAGGTGCATTCCTGACATGGGGTGTGGTAAGGTGGGTTTGGAGGCTTAGCTTGTTCCTCCCACTCCCTGCCCTCACTAGCTGAGCAACCTGACCTATGACAGCCCTCCAGACTACCTGCAGACAGGTGAGCACCCAGCCAAAGAATCCCTTGTATAGCCCTTCCCAAAGCCACTTTGACTTTGGGGAGCAGGAATCCAGCTAGGCTGATGGAGGAGGGAGCCACAGATTGATTTGGGGAGGGGAGGGAAGTTGGCTTCACAGAACTGACCTCCCCTCAGTCTCCCGCCCTGAGACCTACAGGGTCCTGTTTGACTATCAGCCTGAGGCTCCAGATGAGTTGGCACTGCGGAGGGGGGACGAGGTGAAAGTGCTGAGGAAGGTAGGAAGGCACAGGCAAGGGAAGGGTGTGTTGGGAAGGGTGTGTTGGGAAGGTAGAAGGAGCCTAGGGACCTGGCTGTCCTCCCCACAGCATCTTTGTCTCCCAGGCCACAGAGGATGAGGGCTGGTGGGAAGGAGAGTCTCAAGGCAGAAGAGGAGTTTTCCCAGACAATTTTGTGCTCCCACCACCCCCAGTGAGTAAGGTGTGTATTGTTGGGGGGCAGGGACAGGTTACTCTGGACAAAGTTGGGGGTCATGGTGCTCACTAGATACAGCTGGAGGGTCACGCCTAAATGAGAGTGGAACTAGAAATGTGGGGGCGTCTCTCCAGATTCTCATACTTCTTTTCTGCGCAGATCAAGAAGCTGGTCCCACGAAAAGTGGCATCTCGAGAATCAGGTGGGTGCCCTGGAAGCCTAGGGTTAGGGGGTGTTTCTGGGAGACCCATCAGTTCAGTTGCCCATAAACATCCACCGCTGCCCAATGGTCCAGTACACCCACTTAGGAGCTACATCCGGGTGGGTTAAGGGTTCAATAGGAATGTATGTGGGTCAGTGTACATGTCAATATGTTCATGTTTCCCTGTGTGTCTTCAGGATGCAGCTATCAGTGTGTTTAGATTTGTTTCATTTTGTAAGAAAATGTATGGATTGGTGTGTCTGGGTCTATGAGACTGTGTATGTTCATGTGTCTTAGTGTGTATGTGAGTAACTCTGTATATGTGTCTGTGGGGATATGTGCCTTTTTATTTATCTTTTAAAAAAAATTTTTTTTTCTTTATTGATTTTTAGAGAGAAAGGAGGGGAGAGGGAGAGAGAGAGAAACACTGATGAGAGAGAACATTGATTGGCCACCTCCTGCATGCCCCAAGTGGGGATCAGGCCTACAACCTGGGCATGTACCCTGACTGGGAATCAAACTGGTGACCTCTTGGTGCATGGGTCAACACTCAACCACTGAGCTACATTGGCCGGGCTTTTTATTTATCTTCTAATGTAATGTCACACTTGCCAAAAACATATGTAACATCATATGTGTTTTAAAACTTCATGAGCCCTGGCCAGTTTGACTCAGTGGTTAGAGCGTTGGCCTGTGGTCCAGAGAGACCCAGGTTCGGTTCTCGCTAAGGGCACGTACCTTGGTTGCAGTTTGTCCCTGGCCCTGGTTGGTTCGTGCGGGAGGCAGCCACCCGATGTGTACCTTTCATGTTGATATTTCTCTCTCTCTTCCTCTCTCTCCCTCCCACTCTATCAGAACAAAAAATGAAAAAATGTCCTCGGGTGAGGATTTAAAAAAAACAAACAAACTTCATGAAAACCCATGATCTATCATTCAAACCCAAGAACTAGAACACTGCCAGTTAGTCTGTGTATTCCTCCTCTCCCATTCTGCTCTTTCCCCCACACCAGACATAACCAGTGTCCTGAATTTTGTGTTTATAGTTCTCACAAGTTTTTAAGTTTACTTACATGTGTATGTGCCACTTGGATCACTTGATTTATTTCTTCTTTTTGAGCTTTATAAAAATGGTTTCATATATTTATAGTCTCTGGGACTTACTGTTTCCAATCAACATTTTTTTCTAAGATTTATCCATGTTGTGTGTTGATCTAGTTCATTAGTTTTTCTCTGCTGTACAATATTGCCACAGTTTATGTATCTGGTCTCTTCCTGATGTTGGGCATTTTCATTGTTTCTAGTTTTTATTATTATACACAGTGCTGCTGTGAATATTCATGTCAGGGAATCAAACGGTGACCCTTCAGTCCTCGGAGGTGCTCTAACTGCTGAGTTAAACCAGCCAGGGCTTAAATTTTTTTAATTGATTTTTTTTTTTAGGGAAGATTGGAAGGGAGAGGGAGAGAGAGAGATATAAACATTGATGAGAGAGAGAAGCATCAACATTGATTAGCTGCCTCCTGCATGTCCCCTATTGGGGATCGAGCGTCCTGACTGGAAATTGAACTGGGCCCTCTCAGTCCATGGAACGATGCTCAATCCACTAAGCCACACCGGTTGGGCATGCCTTTTTTAAAAAATACGTTTTTGTTTTTAATTTATTTTTAGAGGGGGAGGAAGGGAGAGAGAGAAACATCAACGTGAGAAACATTGATCAGCTGCCTCCTGCGTGCTCCCTATTGGGGATTGAGCCCAAACCCTGGGCATGTGCCCTGACCTGGAATTGAACCAGCAACCTTTTGGTGCACGGGACAGTGCTCAACCAACTGAGCCACACCGGCCAAACCCTTATGCCTTTTAATTTCATTTTTTATTTATTACAGAGGCTAGGATCTCAGGATCTCAGTACAATACTGAATAGAAGTAGTGATGCTGAACATCATTACCATGTTTCTGATTTTAAATGGAATGCTTCTGTTGAAATATTTTGCTAGTTTCCCTTTTCTTAAGATTTTTACAGTTATTTTTACTGTCCGTGTCTCTATCAGTGTTATACTAGCCCCACGAATGAGTTAAGGAGTATGCATTTTGTTTCTTTTTTGTTGTTGTTAATCCTCACCCGAGCATATTTTTCCATTGAGTTTTAGATAGAGTGGAAGACCAGGAGGAAGAGAGAGAGAAACACTGATGTGAAAGAGACACATGGGTTGCTTCCTGCATGACCTGACCAGGGTGGGGATGGGACCTGCAACCCAGGTATTGTACCCTTGACTGGGAATCGAACCTGTGACCCTTCGGTCCGCAGGCCGACACTCTAATTGCTGAGCCAAACCGGCTAGGGTGCATTTTGTTTCTGATCTGGTAGATGTTATATAAGATGGGAATCATCTTTCTTGGAAAGCTGGTATAACTTGTCTGTTAAACTCATTTGGCTCTCTTTTTCCATCATGGCAAAAAACATTTAAATTTCTTTAATAGTTATAAACCAGTCTAGCTACAATTCTGTCCTTTTTTTTTTTTCTTAGTACTACAGAAATTTAATTTCTCACATTTTTGGAGGCTAGAAATTTGAAATCAAGATGTTGGTATGGCCATGTTCTCTGTGAAAGTGCTAGGCTAAGAGTCTTTCCTTATCTGTCCTTTGCTTCGGGTAGTTGCTAGCAATCCTTGGCTTGTAGATGCGTCACTGCACTCTCTGCCCATCTTTACATGGTCTTCTGCCCTGTGTGTGTTCAATTTCTCTCTTCTAATGACACCAGTCCTTGATTTAAGGCTCACCCTATCCAGCGTGACCTTATATTAATTGGATTACATCTGCAAAGGCCCCTTGACAGCTGCTTTTCCAATGTCTTCACCCTGAAACCATTTGAGGGGAAGAAGTCTTGCACTTTGGCAACATGCACAGACCACATTCTGTCTCCTGGTCCCTGGTTAACAATGGTTGGCCAAAAATCTGGCTACAATTTTTGAATCAGTTTTAATGATTTTTCTTTTCTTTGTTACCCACTTAATCTATGTTTTCTAATAATTTGTGTAAAGTTGTTCATATGCTCTTATAATCTTTTAAGTCTCATCTGTATCTGTAGTTACAGTTGGTTTCATTTCTAAGACTGTATTTCCCTCTGTTTTTGTTGTTGTTCAGTCTCATTAGAGTTGTTAATATATTCAGTACTTAAGAAGACATATTTTTTAGTGTACCTTTAAAAAAATTTTTTTCTTTATTGATGTCGGAGAGAGACCGAGGAAGAGGAGAGGGAGAGCTGGAAACATCCATTAGAGAGAACATTGATTGGTTGCCTCCTGCATGTCCCCCATTGGGGCTCAGGCCCACAACCTGGGCATGTGCCCTGACCAGGAATCGAACCGGCGACCTCTTGATGCATGGGTCGATGCTCAACCACTAGCCACATGGGCTGGGCGGATCTTGCTTTTTTTATTGTATGATGATCATTCCTTTTTGTTGTTGTTGTTGTTAATCCTCACCCGAGGATATTTTTCTATTTATCTTCAGATAGAGTGGGAAAGAGAGAGAGGGAAAGAGAGAAACATCCACGTGAGAGGGACACATAGACTGGTTGCCTCCTGCATGACCCCGACCAGGGCTGAGATGAACTGCAACCAAGGTATGTGCCCTTGGCCGGAATCAAACCTGTGACTCACTGGTCCGTGGGCTGATACTCTACCACTGAGCTGAACTGGCCAGGGCTGTGTGCAAGTTTTTATTTGGATGTGTTTTCATTTCTCTTGGGTATATATCTAAGAAAGGAATTGCTGGGTGATGCAATAACTCTATGTTTAACTCTGGGAAGAACTGCCAGACTGTTTTCCACAGTGGTCGCACCATTCTTATTTCCACTAGCAGTGAATGAGGGTTCCAGTTTCTCCACATTTACACCAGCCCTTGTTATTCCCTTATTATAATCATCCTACGGAATATGAAGTGGTTTTGCTTTGTATTTCTTATATGATTATTAGCTATTTGTATATCTTTTGGAGAAATATCTATTTGAGTCCTTTGCCCATTTCTGAATTGGGTTGTTTGTCTTTTTACTGTTGAGTTGGAGTTCTTTGCATATTCTAGATAAAGTCCCTTATCAGATATACAATTTGCAAATGTTTTTTTCCATTCTTTGTGTTGTCTTTTTGCTTTAGTTTATTTTATTCTTTAATTTCCACATATAAATGAAATCATGGTATTTGTCTTTCTCTGACTGACTTATTTCAACTTTTTACCTTTTTAAAAATATGTTTTTATTGATTTAAAAAACATTTTTTTTTTTTTTTTTTATCCTCACCCGAGGACATTTTTTGTTCAGATAGAGTAGGAGGGAGAGAGAGAGAGAGAAACATCGATGTGAAAGGGACACATCGAGTGGCTGCCACCCGCACGACCAACCAACGCCGGGGACAAACTGCAACCAAGGTACATGTCCTCAGCAGGAACCAAACCCGGGTCTCTCGGGACCGCAGGCTGATGCTCTAACCGCTGAGCCAAACCGGCCAGGGCTAAAAATTTATTTTTATTTCTTACTTTAGTTTTTAAATATGTTTTTACTGATTTTTCTAGTGAGAGAGGGAGGGAGAGAAAAATAGAAACATCAATATGAGAGAGAAACATAGATCAGCTCCCTCCTGCACGCCCCCTATTGGGGATCCAGCTGCAACCCGGGCATGTGCCCTGACGGGGAATCAAACAGGAACCTCTGAGTCCATGGGATGAAGCTCAATCCACTGAGCCGCACTGGCCAGCCTCAACTTTCTACTTTTTAAAAAAATCTTCACTCAAGGATACTTTTCCATTTATTCAGATCGAGTAGGAGCGGGGAGGGAAAGAGAGGGAGAAAGAAATCCATGTGAGAGAGGCACATCGATAGGTTGCCTCCCGCATGACCCCGACCAGGGCCGAGGATTGAATCGTAACTGAGGTTCATGCCCTTGACCGGAATTGAACCCAAGCCTCTTTGGTCCTCCGGCCAATGCTCTATCTGCTGAGCCAAACTGGCCAGGGCTCAACTTTTTACTTTTTTTTTTTTAACCTCACCCGAGGACATTTTTGCATGTATCTTCAGATAGAGCAGGAGGGAGGGAGGGAGGAAGAGAGAGAGAGAGACACATCAATGTGAGAGAGGCACATCGACCTGTTGCCACCCACACAACCCCAAGCGGGGCCAGGACAAACCACAGCTGAGGTGCAGTGCCCTTAGAGGGAACCAAACCCAGGATTCTCTGGTCCACCAGCTGATGCTCTAACTGCTGAGCCAAACTGGCCAGGACAACTTGTTACTTTTTTGATGATGTTCTTTGATGCACAAAAGTTTTAAGATTTGATGAAGTCCCATTTATCTGGTTTTTTTTTTTTGGTTGCTTGTGCTTTTGGTATATCTATGAAATCAATGCCAAAGCCAAGGTTACACCCCAAATTGATTGAGTTTCCCTTCAACCGTGACAGCCAACCTGCTGATCCTCAACCTGCCCCATACTCAGAGAGTTGATGTAGGCTGGGGAATGGGGGAGGGATAGGCAAGAACACCACCAAGCATAAGTGCTTCTCTGATTATTTTATGGTCAGTTTACAGAGCACTGAAATGGTTGCTTTGTCGTTTTTGTCCAGCTTTATAGTTGCTGTGTGAGGTGTGAATCTGTCCACCAACTCACCCAGCCAGTCAAGCCCTGCTTTTTTTATCCATTCCTTTAAACATTGCTCTCAAGCCCTGGCCGGTTTGGCTCAGCAGTTAGAGCGTCAGCCAGACTCGGGTTCGGTTCCCACTAAGGGCACGTATCTCGTATCTCGGTTGCAGTTTGTCCCCGGCCCTGGTTGGGTTGTGCGGGTGGCAGCCACTCGATGTGTCCCTTTCACATTGATGTTTCTCTCTCTCTCTTCTCTTTCCCTCCCACTCTATCTGAACAAAAAATGAAAAAAAAAAATGTCCTCAGGTGAGATAAAAACAAAAATAAACATTGCTTTCACATCTTTCACTCCTTGTCTCACTATACTCTAACTCTGGCTATGTTTAATCTGCTGTTTAACATTGCATTTTATTTCAAGAGTACTCTTTTCACCTCTAGTAGTTTAGCTGTCTCTTTTTCCCCCCATCTCTTGATGGCCCCTTTGTTTCAGGCTCATCCTTTATTCAGATATTTTTTTTTTTTATCCTCACCGGAGGACATTTTTCCTTTTTTTTTTTTTTTTTTGTACAGACAGAGTGGGAGGGAGAGAGAGGAAGAGAGAAAGAGAGAAACATCGATGTGAAAGGGACACATCGAGTGGCTGCCACCCGCACGACCAACCAGGGCCGGGGACAAACTGCAACCGAGGTACATGCCCTTAGCGGGAACCGAACCCGGGTCTCTCAGGACTGCAGGCCAACGCTCTAACCGCTGAGCCAAACCGGCCAGGGCTATTCAGATATTTTATACAGAGCTGTGTTGTCTCTAACCTGACAATTCCATTATCTGCTGTGTGTCGTGTCTGCTGAGTCCACCGTCAGTGGCCTGTCTTCTCATGTGTTTTATGATCTTTGTGTGTGAGCTCACGCCTTAGGGGAAGACTTCTTCCAGAGAGATGTGACTTCTACTCCTGGCTACTGGCTCCAGGCTCAGTAGCCACAGTGGTGCTGCCCTCTCCCCATCATGCTGGCCCCCGTTTCTCCCTGTGTGGCCCTCCCCTACCTCTTTTAAGTCCAACAGTGCCCCTAAGGTGTATCCTGGGTAGGGTATAATTGCTATCTAGTGGGAGAGCCCCACAGGGCACCTAGTCAGTCATACTGCGAGAAGCAAAAGTCGAAGTTAACATTTTTTAAAAAAATGCTTTTATTGATTTTTTTATATAGAGAGAGAAACATTGATGAGAGAGAAACATTGACCAGCTGCCTCCTGCACGCCCCCTATTTGGGATCGAGTCCACAACCTGACTGGGAATCGAACTGGGAGCTCTCAGTCGGTGGGATGTTGCTCAATCCACTGAGCCACCCTGGCCAGGCCAAAGTTAACATTTTAATGGAAGAAGACTTGACTTGGGGTGGTGAACACACCGTACAATATACAGATGATGTATTATAGAATTGTACACCTGAAATCTATATAATTTTATTAACCAAAGTCACCCCCAGTAAATTTATTTTTAAAAAAAGAAAAAACAGTTTAACGAGCTTTGACTCTATATGCCAAACACTCTTTTAAGCAGCTCATGTGGATGAAGTCCCTCAAATTTCACTGCAACCCTACAAGACGTGTGCTGTTGTTATCCATGCCCCATGGGTGAGGACACTGGGCCAGAGAGAGCTTAAGTTACCTTCCCACATTTTCACAACTGGCAACGGAGCAAGAATTCACAGCCTGGTGTCCAGTTATAGGAGCCATGCCCTGGCCCACCACGACATGGCGTCTGGGGACTTGTGTGTGGATCTATGATAACACGTGTGCACGTGCCAGGGTGGCTGCTTGTGTGTCCATGGATATGAATGTCACTGTGTGTGATAGCCTTCAGGTGAGCAGTCTGATGCCATCTCAGTGTGGCCTTTTCTGACCACTCCGTTTAAAATGATCCTCCCACAATAATACTTCATGACTCTAACCCACCACGTGTTATGTCGCTTCCCCAGCAGAGAGAGAGCTCGCTCGGGCTGCTGGGGGAAGACAACACCACAGGCAAGGTGAGTGCACCCAAGGCCCAGGTTGGGGCTATTGCCATTGTCCAGGTGAGGAAGGTGGGGACCTGATCTGGGGTGCTTAGTGGTGGAGGTAGTGACAATAGGCGGGTTTAGGACATGTTCTAAAGATAGAGCAGACAGGATTTACTGATGGGCTGGCTGTGTGCAGTGTAAGAGTATAAAAGAGGTCAATGACCACTCCTCATTTTGTCGTATGAGCAAGTGGGTGAACGGGTGAGATGGGGAACACGGGGAAAGGGGCAGATTCAGGGGACAAGGAGGCTGGGAAGGAAGAGTTACGTTTTGGATATGTTGAGTGTGTGATACCAGATTACCTCTCCAAGTGCAAATAATGGGAGGGAGGCCAGTTGGATATGAATGTCGAGTTTAGGGAAGAGGAAGGAGCTAGAAATGGAAATGTGGGAGTCGTTGGTGATCATTAAACCTGCAAGACTGGGTGCAGTCTCTTAGCGAGGACCGAGATGAAGACTGAACCAGTCATGGCACTAAGCAGGGGTAGGTCATGGATAAAAAAATGGGCAGTGCTTGGAGCCATCTCCCCACAAAGCCTTCCCTGACCCCTCTTCGGGGTGCTCCCAGTCCCCTGTGCTGAGGGTGGTCAGCTTCCCCAGAGCTCCCAAGAGGCAGAGTCAAATATGATTCATCTGTCCCTAATCCCTGTGCACAGCACAGGGCAGGGCAGCGACTCTCGGGTGGGTAAGTGCAGACAAAGCTGCATTTACATCTTCCTCCCAGCTCCTGTTAAGGAACCAAAAAAGATGATGCCCAAAACAGCCCTCCCTACAGTCAAGAAGTTGATGACAGCCCACACTGTGCCCAGCAAAGCCAAGTAAGGAGCAGAGTGGGACTAGGGGAAGGATGAGGGTGCAAAGGAAATGCTGTCCTGCCCTGCACCCCCTGGATCTGATGGGGATGTGTTGCAGGCCATCTTGGACACCTGGTGGAGACGGTCAGAAGCGTCCCTCCCGAGACTCAGGTAAGTGTGGCTGCCTCCCTCAGTTGGGTGAGGACTGGGCGGCAGGTGGGGAGAGACTCGGCGTCCTAGTAGGCCTGGGCCCCTGACATTCTGCTCTCAGGCTCCAGCAGCAGCCTCCTCAGTGGGGGCCCAGGCCACCCTGGCAGAAAGCGATCCAGAACCCAGGCTTCCCGCCAACGATCTGCAAACCGTCAGGTGAGAGGCCTGCTTCCCAGGGTGTGGTGTGTGAGGGTGAAGGATCCCAGGCCAAGGGGAGCCCTCAGCTGAGCCCTGATCCCCCTCACCACAGGAGGAAGAGCGAAGAAGCCGAGGAAAAGCCCCTCTTGTGAATAAAACCCCTACTCTGGCCAAGACCCCCAACCCACAGAAGACCCTGTCTCCAGATAAGACCTCTACTCCAGAGGAGATCCCAACTTTAGAGGACAAGGCCCCCAGCCCAGATGGGGTCTTTTCTGTGGATGAGGCCCCTGCTCTAGATGTCCCACCTGAAGATGAAGCCCCTTCCCCAGAGATGGCCCCTCTTGGGGATGAGGCCTCCACCCTAGAAAAGGCCTTGACCCCAGAGCAGATGCTCTCAGAAGAGGCTTCTGCCGGGGACAACACTCAGCTCCATACCTTCCTTCCGGAGGCAGCCGGGCCCAAGGGCGAGTCTTTCTTGGTCACTGGGGCTCAGTCCCAAGAGGAGGCTCACATGCCAGAGGGACATCCTCTGGATAAGAGGGACAGCTCCACACTCCAGTCTGAAGTTAAGCCAGGGTCCATGCCTGCCCTTGAGAAAGTCATCCCTCCAGAAAAGGCCACTTCTCTCCCAGCGGAGGCACCTGGGAAGGATGAGACTACCCCCAAAGAGGAGGTACCCCACGAAGAGAGAGCTCCTTCTGAAAATAATCCACAGCCTGTCAGGCCGACTCCAGACCCTCAAGAGACTCCCACCCTCCATTCACTGGTCCCGCAAAAGCCCACGGACAGCAAAAGTGACAGAGAGGATGTCATGAGGCTACAGAATGAGGTGGAATCTTTAAGGCAGGCCCTGGAGCTGATGGAGGTGCAGCTGGAGTAAGTGGGGGAGGGCAAGAAGCGGGTGGGAAGAAGGGCAGGGGCGGCTGGAAGCCAGCCCTGGCCCACTCCTTCCCCTCACTCTCTTGTCTGCAGAAAAAAGCTAACAGACATCTGGGAGGAGCTGAAGAGCGAGAGGGAGAAGCGCCAGTTGCTGGAGGTGTGTGCGGTGCAAATCCCCAGCAGGGAGGGAGCGGATGGCTGGCCCTCCCCTGACGCCTTCTCTCCACTAGGTTCAGTTGAAGATGAGGACCCAGGAATCCCTGACCCCAGGCCCTAGCCTCGAGGAGACGCAGACGCACTGAGGTGGGCCCTGGAGGAGAATCAGCCTCTGGTCACCCAAGTCCTTGCACACAATTTTGGGAAAGCCTAGAAAGTAAACTTCGCTGTGTACGCAACCGCGCCTGCCTGGTCCTTGAAGGGGCGGGGCGTTCGTGGCGGGGGCGGGGCCAGGTTGGCGCTCCACATTCCTGGCAGTCTCCCTGGCACATCTGGTCAACATGTGGCTCTCGTTACCGTTCCCAAGGCCTGCGCGGGCTATTTTTACCCACCGGATGGCGGGGGTTGGAGGGGCGTCTCCTTCGGACGCCAGCAGGCAGGAGGGGCCCAGGCCCAGGCGGGGTCAGGCTTTGCCTGTGGCTGGATTCCGGAATCCAGCTGTGCGCCAGTGGCCCAGCTTTCCAATCCCCAGCCCCTCCCAACTGGCCCCACTGTCCGCCTAGAAGGATCCACAGAAACGCACCTCAGCCCAGACACGAACTCCACAGCCCAGCTCAGGCACACGTGGTTACATTGGGACACTTGAGTGTCAAGGTCGGGCTCCCAAGGCCTGGTGTGTGTGTGTGTGACTGCAGTGATGCATGAACTTTGGGTATTTGTAGGGACAGAGGTGATGTGTGCCCGGACGCATGCAGGTAAGGAATGCATTTGTAAGGGATTCATGCGAGACTGGTGAAGTGGTGGAGTGTGTTTTTGCCGTCCACGAAGTGAACGTAAGCGAGTGTGCGGAGGACGGAGTGATGGAGGTGATCAGCTTGGTAAAGGAGCCCAGTGGGGTCTCAGCCCTGGGGCCCTCTGCATGACCGGAGCCTAAGGAACGCTGGAGGCAGGGGTAACAGGGAGCCTGAGTCACTAAGAATGCAGCTTTCATTGGTCACTTCACCTCTTAATCGTCCCCAGAAGCGGGGGTGGGGACCGTGTCTTGCCCTCCCCCCGGGTCTTCAGGCAGGACTGGGAAAGGGCGCCTCCCAGAGGGTGGGGATTCACGCCCAATAGCACCGTGGGAGCTGTGGGGGCGGGGCCAACATAGCACCGCCGGCAGGGGAAGTCGGAAGGTCCTGCGACAGCTATGAGCTGAGCTCATGTACATGTCCAGTACCCAGAGCGCCTTGCTGTGGGAACGAGGCCCGGTCAGTAATAGTGCATGCGGCCCAGAGTGCCCGTGGCCGTGGGGCTGGGCCCTAGCGTGCCGGTGCCCAGCAGGTCCGGCTGCCCGGTGCGCCAGATCTCCCGCAGGATCCGTTCCCGCTCCTCCAGGCGCTGCGCCCGCTCCAGCTCTTCCGCCGAGGTGAAGACGTTAATGCTCAGGGGCCCATCGGGCTCTGTGGAAAGCTCCGGGCCAGGCAGTGTGTTGTCGGGGCCCAGCCGCGTCACTGTGTCCTCCTCGTCCTCGTCATCATCCTCCGCATCCGCCTCTAGGGTGCTACGGGGGTCCCGGCGCCGCACCGGGACCCGGGGCCGCGGGCGGGGCGCGCAGGAGATGCTGATGACTAGCAGGCACAAGGTTAGCAGCAGGCCAAAGCAGACGCCCAGCACGAAGTAGAGGCCAAAGCTCTCAGGGTTAGCTGGAGGTCAGAGGGCAGAAGTCATGGAGGGACCCGGGCGGGTGGGAGTCATTCCATCTCGAAAAGACTCCACTTTTTAAGTTTGGGGGGCAAGGGCAGTACCTCCTACTTGAAGGACACTAGGTAGCTGCCATCGGGCGATGGGGGGCAGTGAGGGATGGGGCTAATTGGTAGTGACTAGCTGGGGGGGAGGGGTGATTATAATGAAAGGGGTGGGAAGGAAGGGGCGTAGTGGGGCCTCAGAGGGGCAGGGAGGGTTGCATGCCTCTGCCGCCCTCACCGCGGATGTGTGCGTAGGCCGCCAGGCTATTGCTGAGCAACTCCATGTCTCTTCGGGGGGCATCCATGCTGCTCTGAGGGGCAACTCCCCTGTCAGCCTGCGAGGTCAGCACCATCAGATCCTAATCCCCAGCCTCAAGCTGACCCTGATCCCAGTTTCTCCTCGGGGCAGCTCCTCTCCCTGGAAGAGCAGCCCCAGTTTCCACCCTGGAAAGAGCGGTGTGCTGACTTCGTTGCAGACTCGGGCCCTGTCTGGGAATCCCCCCGCTGCGCACCGACACCCCTCCAACCTCGGGGTCAAGGAGTGGGCCGCAGAAGGCCCCGCCCCCTCGTGCGGTCCCCCACGGAGGTCCGGTTTAGCTGTCCGGGGAGCAAGACGTTGGAGAAACGCGTGTGCCTTCGGCTCTCCAGAGCTAGCTCACGGAAGGGGAGGCCGACTCCCTTTCTCATCCCGCCCGCCCCCGGGGACCCACCGGCCCGCAGGCCCGGGCTTACTCACCGTTAACGCCCGGTTCCTCCGTGGACCTGATCGGCCCCGGCTCTCCAGCTCCAGCGGCCGCACACACCCGGGGTCTGGCCGCTCCCGCCCCGTCCGGTCCTGGCCGCCCCGCCCGCTCGGCTCGGCTCCCAGGCCGCGGCAGCGCGGGCCGGACACGGGCCGATGGACCAGCCGGCGGAAAGTTTCCTCGGAGGAAAGAGGAGGGACGGGGCGGGGCGGGGCGGGGGAGGCGGGGAGGGAAAGGGCAGGCAGAGGAAGGGGAGTGGAGGGAGAGTGAGGCCTGCGGGGAGTCTTCTCCCCCGGAGGAAACCTCGGGGGAGGCCGGGGAGGCGGGGTCCAGAGACCCGCCCCCAGGCTACTAATAACAATAATAATAATGAGGAGGAGGATGGAGTTCTGCTTAGGTGCCAGGCAATGGGCTAAATAAACCCTTTACAATATTCTTTTATTTAATCCTTCTTTTTAAATAATCCTATAATGTGGTATCATTATCCCCACTTGGCAGATAAATACACTAAGTCACAGATCGAAAGACTTTACCAGTCAGGGTTTGAAACCCTGTCCCTGTGCTCATCTCTTCCCCCCAGGAGGCTCCCTCACCCAGGGAAGACTGCCTGCTTTCACCAGCCCAGAGGTCAGACTCCCCAAACCCTCAACCCACAGTCCGAAGGAAGGGACTCTCATCCCCCTCTTCCCAGGCCCAGGCAGTGAGGGTGTCCAGCTGGCCGAGCGCTGGTCAGCAGGGTTAATGAGTGCTGAACTCCGGCTTCAAGCCAGGCCCAGGCCAGCCTTGCAGAACCGAGCCTGGGGCCTCTGAGGTCCCTGTGTTCTGCACCACAGTGCGTGGCAAAAATGCCTTTCCGTTCTGGCTAAACCTGCCTGTGCACATGCATTTCCACATGGGCTCAGGGCTCATGCATGCAATGTGTAGCGATCAGTGTGTGGGCCCGGGGCTTCTTCCTGCCCAGACTCCCAGCCCCCGCTTGTGGGGCCCCCCTTCCTGTGCTGGGGCTGGGGTGAGGGGGAGGCCTTCTTGGCGGGAGTCTTAGAGAGGAGGAGGGAAGGAAGCGGGGAGAGGAAATTGCAGACATAGCTGAAGGTGCTGCCTGAGGCCTGTGGGCCAGTGACACCCCCCTCTCTGTCCAGGCCAGAGACCCCCATTCCAAGTCCTGAGACTGGGTTCAATCAGAGGACAGATCCAGATGGAGAAAGGACTAGGACTGGCTCCTCTGGGGGTGGGAAAGGGATTCCTGGGGTCTTTATGGTTGTTTAGTCTGTTTTGTAAGCATGTGCCACTATTTCTGCCCATATCTGTATATTTGTCTTGTCTATTTTCGTGTTGTATCTGCTTGAGCATTTTTGTGGGGGTGGGCATGTCTGTGTATATATCCATACAGCCACCAGTCAACAAATGCTAACCGAGCACCCTAGTAATGGGGGTTCAGCAGTGAACAGGACAGACACAAATCTTTGTCCTCATGGAGCTGACACTAAGGTGGACAGATGGACAATACACAAGGAAGAGAATCTTGGGGCTGCTGAGTGCTCAGGGGATGATGGAATAGGGAACTGGGATGGAGAACACCTGGGCAGCTCTCCAGGGGGATGTCAGAGGTAAGAGCTGGATCCTGAGGGGGAGCAGCCATGCCAGGACCTGGGGCTGAGTGCCAGGCAGGAAGGAGGGCGAGGGCCCTGAAGTAGAACATCCTCGGGCAGCTCTCCCAGGGGCAGAGAGGTGTGAGGGGGTGATGGGGTGATCAGGAAGAGGCCCTGGGCCCTGTAGAGGGGCTTAGATGTGAGTGTCATGGGGAGCTCCTGGAGTTTTAATCAGGAGAGTGTCAGGGTTCGATGATGATGATGATGACGCACTTTGGAGAGATCCCTATAGGGGCTCAGTGTGGGGTGGGCCCCGCAGGGCGAGAATGGAAGCAGGGCTCTGAGCAGGCTGGCGGCTTCCAGGCCGGCAGTGGCAGAGGGCTTGGACCCGAACGGGCTGTGGAAGAGGTGAGGCAGGATCGGGTTTGGGCAGTGTTCTGAAGGGAGTGTCAACAGGACTTCCTGCGTGGGATGTGGATGGAGAGAAAGAGGGGTACAGGACAGCAGCTCGGTATTGGGCCTGGACACCTGAGGAAAGCTGAGGTGGGGAGCAGATTTTGGGCAGTTTGATGGATCTGAGGTGTCAGACAGGCAGGAGGAGCTCTGAACAGTCTGGGCTGGAAATGTGTTTGCAAGTCCTCAACACCCAAGATGGATTGAACACCCCGGGAGTGGGTGAGATGGCCCAGGGGGCAGGGAGAGACAGGAGCCTGAAGCCGAAGCCCTGGGAGCTCCAACACTGAGGGGTCCCGTGGAGGAGGAGTCAGCAGGAGAGACGGAAGGAAGGTCTGGCCAGGACCCAGGTGCCATCGGCCATGTTACATTGGGCTGAGAGATAAAGGTGGGGGCAGAATCTGACCCCTGGCTAGGATATCGGTGGGTTTCCATGGTTGTAGCAACATGCTGAATGCCTGCCATCGTGTGAAGATTAGTGAATTTTGGCTGTGCTTGTGTGACCGACCCTGGGTGTCGGGGATGTGTCCTTGCTTCCGTGGGTGGCAGCTGTGAGATTTTGGATATGTTTGTGTTAAGCTGTTTCCCTGTGTCCCTGTGCTCTGCAGATCTCTGGGTATCATTATCTACAGACAAAGGTGTGTCTGGGTTGGTGTGTGACATGTGTTTGGAGTGGGTCAACCCCAGTGAAGCAGGTGGCCATGCTGGAGCAGAGTGGGGGTTGAGATGGTTGCTGGTCCCTTCAGAGAGGGACATACAGAAGAAAGATGCGTGTGGCCAAGCCAGACCAGACAGAAGTGGCCGCCTTGCCCTGGAGGGTTGAAGAAGTTGTGGGCTGCTCCGAGAGGCCCTGGGGGAGATGCCCAAAGCCTTTGGCCCATGTGGCCATCTGCACAGTCCACGTGTCCTCCTGACCACCTGCCTGTCTGTTTTTCTGCCTGCCTCTCCCTGCGGGCTGGCCCATCTGTAGGTCTGCCCAGCCACCTGTTTTCCCGGTGTGCTGAGGGGGATCTCTGCATACCTGCCACCCGCCTGCCTGGCCCGCATCCCCTCTATCCGCCTGCTGCTTTTCCTCCCTGTCTGTTGACCTATTACCGACCTGCTGCCTGGCCACCCGCACACTTGTTGGCCACCCCTCTGCCCTCTTGTCTATGAGACTAGAGAATTGTCACCTTGGGAGTGATCCTAAGATGAAACACGGGAAAGGGAGGTCTGATGGAAGGTGAGGGGGCTGAGAGATCCAGAGCCTCTGGGTGGGGCTTGGGGGGCTGGCACACTAGGGCCTAATGCAAAGCCCACTCCTCCCTTTGCCAGCAGCCAAGCTGGGGTCTGGCCCCAGCCACTCTGTTCCTGACACTGAGGCCTCACCCCACTGCGGGTGTGTGTGTGTGTGTGTGTGTGTGTGTGTGAGAGAGAGAGAGAGAGAGAGAGAGAGAGAGAGAGGCTGTCTAGTTCTTGGATGGAGGAAAGAAGGGGACTCATTCAAGGACTTTTAAGAACAGCGCACCCTCTGAATGCCTCCCCAGCACCAGGGACATCTGCTGGGAAGAGGGCAATGTGGGTCTGCAAAATGAATGATAGCTATGGCTATCACCCTGGCCAGTTTGGCTCAGTGGTCAGAGCATTGGCCCGCAGACCAAAGGGTCTTGGGTTTGATTCCCAGTGAAGGGCATGTATCTGGGTTGCAGGTTCGATCCCCAACCCTGGTCAGGGCGCAAGTGGGAGGCAACCAATCAATGTGTCTCTCTCACATCGATGTTTTTCTCTTTCTCTTTCTCTCGCCCCTCTCCCTCCCTCCCTCCCACTAAGAATCAATGGAAAAAATATCCTTGGGTGAGGATTAACAAGAACAAAAAATAGTAATGTCTACTGAGCACCCTCCTGGTACCCGACTAACTGCTATGCTGCCTCAACCCCTCAAGTCCTCCCAGTAACCACGAAGTTTGTAGGTTGACTCCCATTTTACAGATGAGGAAAGTGAGGTCCAGAGAGGTTAAGTAACATATGTGCAGTCACATGGATGTAAAGGGTGGGGCCTGAATTTGAACTTCAGAGCCCGTGCTCCCAGCCAGTTTCCACAGGTCACGGTTCTCCACCCCGTCAGACCCAAAGCTGACTCTTTGTATTGCTCCTTTTATACTCCTGAATGAAATGTATGGCTAATATACCCACCTCCACATCTAATTTAAAACATACACACAGCCCTGGCCGGTTTGGCTCGGCGGTTGGAGTGTCAGCCTGCAGACCAGAGCGTCCCAGGTTCGGTTCCCGCTAGGGGCATGTACCAAAAAAAAAAAAAATTAAAAAAAAAATAAATAAAACATACACACATATACTTATATATGTCATAATATAAAAAAAATAGCCCGCCCAGCCAGTGTGGCTCAGTGGTTGAGCGTCGTCGACCCATGCACCAAGAGGTCGCCGGCTCGATTCAGGGTCAGGGCACATGCCCAGGTTGGGGGTCCAATCCCCAGTGGGGGGCATGCAGGAGGCGGCCAATCAATGTTCTCTCTCATCGATGTTTCTATCTATGTCTCCCTCTCCCTTCCTCTCTCTCTAAAATCAATAAAGAAAAAAAATTGAAAAAAGAACTAGCCCTGGCTGGTGTGGCTCAGTTGGTTGGAATGTTGTCCCGTACACCAGAAGGTGATGAGTTCAAGCCCTGGTTGGGGCACGTGCGGAAGGCAACTGATCGGTGTTTCTCTCTCTCCCTCCCTTTCTCTCTCTAAGATCAACTGAAAACAAAAGGGTGAGGATGCGGATTTGTGAAGGGACCAGCTGCGGGAAGCCGCGGCTGTGTGTGCAGCTTGACGCTGGGTACCGGCGGTGTTGGTGCCTGGAACAATGAAGAACTCCTGGTAACATTCTGAACCAAACAAAGTACAAATGTCCTCCACTTTGCACAGCTGCACTCCCAAGAATTCAGTGCACATGTGTATACACAAGTCTTTTGTGTTTATGTGTAAAGTGCAGTTAGATTCTTGGCTCTGGTGAT